GGACTAGCTGAGTTCCTTTTTCGTTTTGTTTTGCCTTCTCAATTTTGTCATGTCGCTACATTCTCTCCTATCTTATTTTTTTTTTGTAATTTGGAGTACTCTGTATATTTTTCCCAAATCATAATAATCAATTTTATTAGTTAATTTATTTTCATATGAAATAATTGATTCATCACATATAATAAGTTAAACTTTCAGAATATGATTTATTGGTTAGTAGAAAATGTTTATGTTGTAACTAAAAATGTCAATTTCTGCTTTTTCTTTTTTTGTTTCTCGTGATACTGATTCGTCTACTAAGATTTCCTTTTCAATGTCTTAGAAAGGAAATAGATTAAATTATTTTATTTTGATCTTTCTATTTCTTTGGATTTTGTTCAATAAAAGTACATATACAATGAAAATACATCACCTTTAGATTAAGGCCCACTTAATCAAGTATTCAAATTAAATGAACACATGATGATGAATTGATTCTTAAAAATCAAATAACATGTTAAATTTTATAATAGAATGAAAATAGGGTTAAATAGAAAAGTTCATTTATAAATATAATTGTAAAAAAAGTCAAGAAAGATTAGTTGTCGATTGAAGATAAAAACTAAAAAGGAAAAAGAAATAAATGAAGAAAAATGATAAAGAAGGGCAAATTCGTTAATCCACTAAATTTAATGCTCCATATTTTTACTTTGATATTGATTTGATTACTTATTATGGTTTATAGATTCTAAAAAAGAAAAAAAGTTAAAAATTCTAACTCCAAGATCAAACTCGTGCTAGATTAGGACTAAAAGTTGAAATTTGAAGTTTATCGGTGTCTACTAATATATAATTTAATTCAATTAATATCCTAGTCTATTTATGATGAATTCAAGATTAAGTAAAAATTTTAATTAATGCTGACCACATTATTCAAAAATACAAAATTAATATGTACGAATCAATTGATGTCCGATCAGTATATTTTGAGCAAATTGACAGACACTCAATTATGATAATGAAAATTAGTTCCAGTTTGAGACTTAAGAGTGCTGAAATTAAAATTTCAAATGCCATATACAGAAGATCAGTTCAGTAACTATCAGGGGGAAGTGATGAATTTCTAAAATGTAAAGGGAGCTTTAAATAATATGAATAAATCTAAGATGAAGAAGGGGGTGGGGGGCATGTTTAAGAAATAGAAATGCAGAGGTGGTGTCTGGTGGTCTTCTCAGTTCTCAGTTTCGCCCGCTCCTCTCCTCTCTTATCAAATCCCACAGAGGAAAACAGAAAGTGGAGCCAAAACCCAAGTGGCAGAAGGTTTATATACCATTCTTTCCCACCGTAAAGTCTGTAAGTTTTTCATGCAATTATAATGTCTGAACTTTTGTACCTTATCATTAAAGACAGAATAGATAAAGACTTTTGCAATTCGGTTCAATGTTTGACTGGCCAAGTTTTTGAAAAGCTGTGTAAAGTTAGGCGCTTTATATGCTCCTTAATATCAATGCAACTTTTCGGTTGGTCTCGAATTGTTCTGCCTGTGTCTCGTGTATTTGTAGAGGAACATTAACTGATTGATAGACAAGAAGAAATCCAAGAATTTAATAAAGAACAGGTTTTTACAAATTGATGTCGCATTTTAAGTAAGTCTTCATGGGTTTATGCTGTTTTTTATTCCTAATTTTTAAGTGGATGAGTGATGTTGAGGGAGTTTGAGAGTAAATTCTTGTGCTCAGAAAGAGTGGGATCTGAATTTTCTGCTGGAGGCTACCGGAAGATGTGTGGGATTGATAGGATTTGAAGAGGATGAATGACTTAGCCATTTGTGAGTGCTAGTGTATTTTGGTAACTGAAGTTACATAACATCTGTCATTCTTGCTTAATGTCACGGTTGTTGATGTAAGAACCAATTTGGCTATTAAAACATGCAAATTTTGTATGAGGAATGAAGAAAAAACCCAAATCAAACTGACTGTATTTAGAGGTTTCTCATTTTTATATCTCAAAGGGAATAATAGCCAATTAATTGCAAGACATGCCCATTGACATCTACTGAGTTCACTTGGTTTTGGTGATAAACTGTTGAATGAGTTGCAATCTTCTGAAGGATCCTGAGGCATGTCCAAAATTACCAAGAATGTTGCAGAAACAACTTGCAATTTTAAGGATTCAGCATTGGTTTGCATTCCTATGTTTTGAGAAACTGATTATTGATTGATTAGCTGCCATCCTTTGTCTCATCTGCTTGCTTGCTGAATTGTATATAGCAGAAGTTTTGAAGCTAAAAATCTTTGTCAAATGGCATCTCAGTTTTGTAATATCTTTTTGACATAGCATCCATTGATTTCATCTATATATGAAGTATAAGGGAGAAGAGAGCACAACAGTAATGTATACAGCAGATGGTTCTTTAAGAAGTCATTACTCCTAAAAATTTGACAATTTTCAACTTTTTTCTGATACAATGCATTTATTATGTCAAACTTTCCAAAGCGTTTGTCAGTGTCTTTTTCTTATTTAAGTCGGAAATGTCAGTTTCATGTTTCTGATCGCAAATGATCTCAATTGTTCTCTTCTATTACCATCATCAGGTGGGAAAGGAAATCTTTTAGAAATGATCGATCCCATTCATCAGTTCTTATTCATGATTATCTTCGTACTGATGTGGTCATTTTAGGTTTGACATGCAGGTTCTCCATGATAGCCAGGAAAATACCATCGACTGGCTATCCTACAAGTTCCACAATTCTTACTCCTAAAGACCCAAGATCAAGCCACCTGGTGTGTACCTTGGTCTTCGTGTTAATAAAACTGCCTTTTCTTTTGGCAGAATGCTCTATATCGTCATTTCCCTCTCTCTCACCTGGCACGTCCTTCTGTATTCAACAATTTCATGTGAGTTTCTTTGTAACCGCACATAACTATTACTTTCTGACTTGGCCATTTACAATGTATGAACATTCTTTTGTGATGTGTGCATGTATGTCTTTCATGCTAGACTCCTCAAAGATATTGAAATTTTGGCATGCATATAGATTCTTTCATCTCTCTTGATGTAACGAGTAGAAAATGCTCCATTTTGGCATGAGGTCACTAGGTAAACGTTGTATGTACTTTTATCATACCATGAGGAATTTACATAGTTCTAGCATGTAATTAAAAATTCCAACTTTAATCATGTAGGAGTTGGGAGTGGTCTATTAGAAGCGCTGCAGATGGTGACAGGCTAAATTCTTCCCCTACAGATGATAGCAGCAGTGGAACTCGACTTGTTAGGGCTATCCAAGCCATTCGGGTCAAGTTAGAAACAAGAATCAGGGAGTTAAGGAAGAATTTCCCGTATGAAGTTACTCTTCTTCTTGGTGGGATTTTACAGTGCAACGCCTTTGCCACTGTTATTGGGCAAACTGGTGACTGGGATATTCTATCTGCTGCATTAGCCGTTGCTGTAGTGGAGGGAATTGGAGCTCTCATGTATAAAGCTTCTCTGCCTTTGATTGGCAAGTTGAGGGGCTTAATCATCATGTTTAATTATTGGAAAGCTGGACTTTCTCTTGGTCTTTTTCTTGATTCCTTCAAGTACTAGATGGAGACATCAGACTCTTTATGAAGCCAGTCGCTTGACAATTGGACATATTTCCACTCATTGGGTGTTGTCATTCTTGATGAGGGCTATTGAACTGGTTATGCTCAAACATAATGAATAATCAGGAAGATATTTGGGAAGATAGCTTGCAACCAACTGCCCTCATTATGGAAGGCGCTGAATCCTGGTGGTAGAACAACTTGTCTGACAGTGTTAAGTGTAGATCTACAAGTAACGAGACAGTACATTTAATCAGAATTGTTGAAGTCACGAATCAGAAGAATGACGATGTAGTTTGCCGTACATGTGAATCTCGCCTGTTTTTTCTCTGAAGTATCAGTTTGGCATACCTGAGGTAAGTAATCATTTTAATTGTTTTTTTTTAAAAAAAAAAACACTGATTTTGTTAAATTCTGATTTCTGCATAAAGGACAGGGACAATTATGATTCACACATCTGCAATTTCTTTCGGGCCAAGACTGATGGATTTTCTTTAGCTGGTGACTTCCTCTGCAAATCAACATGCAAGGTCCTGTGTGTGGTAGAGATTTAATGTCTTAAAGATGAGTATTTATCCTGTGTCAGCCTTGGAAGGAGGCAATTTTTAACTTTCAAATCCAGTTTGGCTGGGATATGGGAATTGAGGAGTATTATCAACAGCTTAACCTATTCATCCTCAGCCTCCATGCAGAAAGGGTAGTCTAAGCCTATAAAATGAAAAAGGTGTATAACAAAATCCTTCTTTTCTTGTTGAAGTGTACTATAGACAATCATTCAGTGCCGTGCAGGATGCGACCACAGTTTGGTAGCTAGAAGCAGATGAGCTCTGCCGAGTTCTAAGCTAGTTGTTTGATTAGGCATTGATACTCACAGCATGGAGGTGAAACAGTAACAGACCAAGATGACGCTAGTACAGCTTTCATCCCATATGTAAATCTATGATTTCCAGCAGCAGAGCTGATACTGATAGGATCTTTTCTGGAACATACAATTACAATAAAACTCGTTCGATCTCCGCAATTCTTTATGTTCATATTTTTTCAATAAATTCATCATTATTGTTTAACCATGTCCTCGTCCCTGCAATAAACCCCCAGGCACGGGCAATGATAAATGTCCTGCAATGGTTTAATTCTTCAATTGTGCGATGTAGTGAAAGCTCCAGCCTATGAGGCGGCAATGTCATAAACCCGTACAGGTCGAGTGTTCCTAGCTAGCCACTTGCGATGTCTTCTCCAACTCGTTTCTGGCTAAGTCAGGTCGTTGGGAGATCCCTTGGTTTCTCATGGGAAATTTTCCATTAAATACTCTCCTGTTGGCATATTGTGCTGTAATAATTGAAGCTAATCCATTTAACAGAATGTTAGCAGTAACTTGGAAGGATTTTATTTAAGCCGTATTCCTTCAAAAATTTTCCAGTCTGATTAACACTTCAATGCGAGCTCCAAGCATCAGGTGGACTTTCGAACCCTTCTAAAGTATCAAAGTACAAGGAAGTATCTTTCTCATTATTTGTTTCATTGCAATCTGCTTCCTGCATAATTTTACGTACTGATAGTCACAAAGGCAAAAATTATTGCAATTTGCTTGCCATACACAAACCATCTTGACATCCTTTGGGGAAGCTCAAGGCAACCATCTCCGCCAGTACAATTCAGTATGCGTGCAGCAAACCACAATTCGTAGGAGAAGACTTGTTGCAGATCATCTTCGTTTATGTGAATAAACTGACCAGACACATTATAAATTTACATCATTTACAATAATTGAGGAGAATGATAGCTTAACTACAGAGGGAAAGAATCAACAATACTGCCTAATGCAGATTTTTCTCAGTAGTATGTATAAGGTTTGCAGAAAGGGGTGAGCTGAGTATCATTCTAATCTCCTCTCATCATGCATCAACGCCTGGGCCAGGATATGCTGGTAAACTCATTATACGCTTGTCAATAACTGGGCCTCCAACTGTAAAATGATAAAGGCTTTGATACTTCGATCCTCGTACCCAAGAACTTCATGTACTGACATAAATGAAACAAAACAGCGTCAAAGAAACATCCCAAGATAAACTATTCCTTCTTCCCAAAATTCGAACCTATTTCAAATAAATCTAGCATACTAATCTGGCCAAGGACAATCAAAGGAAATAAATCACCCTGAATAAGAAAAGCCTAACATGAAGGCTAAAACATTAGCTAACCAGACCAAATTTTCTCATAATCTCAGTAATGTAATTTAGCAGAGTTCGTGGCCGAGAGATGAGAGGTGGTTGACGAGGCATTGGTCTAGTGGCTAAGCTTGAAACTCCAGGAATTAAAGGTCGTGGGTTCAGACGACCCCCCCCCCCCCAAACAAAAAACAAACCAAAAAAAAACAAAAAAAGCTTCTTGAGTCCCACCCTCCTCTGCTGGAAAATTTAAGAGCGAGAGGAGAGACATGTAATGCCCCAAGATGACACTTTAAGAGTAAGCAACCATTAATGACATTTGGTAGAGTACGGGGTATCAGAAACTTGGGTACAAGAAGTCGAGGAAAGGTTTAGAACTTACAGGCAATGGGACATCAAGGAAAGAGTGAAGTTCCTTTTGTCAAAAATAAAGGGAGGAAATTATGAATCGTGGATTTTCTTGTGTCCATAGGTAGGGTGCTCAAGATATAAAGCTGATACCTCATAGATGAAATTGGACTAAATACAAAAATAGAGCATTTTGCCTTTACAAATTCTGCAGTTCGGATACAATTACAAACTATCCCATATATGGATCCCTGATTTATGGTTCAGTGATGTGTTAACTCGGATTTTAAGAAGCTCATCCATTACAGATGGCATGATCTCGGAAATGGAACTTTTGAATGAGAGGATGCATAACAAACATGCACACACACAAAACGAAGTAGACCATCCAAATGAAACATGATGTCAAAGAGACAATTATACCAGGGTCATCAAAAAAGCAACCAATTCCAGTAGCAGAGATCCCAACTGCATGGGCTTCAAGGTACAAGACCTGGCCAAGGACCCCCGTCTCCCAAAATAACCGAGGATACATCCATGAACCTTTTTCATGCAAGGTAGGCTCCAAATGAGCCACCATACCCAGACTGAAGCAACCATCACTGGCAATGTCCTGTAATTAGATATAATTAGATAGTCATGTTTGAGAAGTCCATTAAATAGATCCTCTGAATCAGGATGATAAGTCGACTCTATGCAAGTAGCCCCAAAATTCTAACACAAGCAGTCTATCTCAACCTTCCTGCTTTACAGAAACATAAACAACTAAATTTACAGCCACTGCTTGTGGCGCAGAGTCAAAGTAGCAGTTATGCCAAAACATAATCTCCGTGGGGCAGCTTATATTCAATGTGTCTGGGAAGACGTCAAATTGTTATCTATTATAGAATTCACAAAGCCATATAGTCTTATTGCTATGACAATTAATGCTGAAAACCTTTGTCAAAATTACTAACTGTGCTGAACATTTACTGTAACTTTTCTATGATAACATTTTCCAGTGCCATAAAAAAGAAAAGATGCAAGGTGAATGTCCAAAAGGGCATGTGCCCTGAAAAAAAATAACGTATTGCAGATCCACCTATAGTTTGCACTCCAATATTGTCAAACACCTAATAAAGAAACATAAAATGCAACCAAACTCCTCATCATCCTCATGATTTGCAAATAGAAACAAGCTCCAATGTCAATTAAAATGTTAGTCATAATTAGCGATATTCAGTACAGAAGTGTGCAGGGTATAAAGTGAGGAAAAAACTGAACACATCTTCATCCTGCATCAAAGTTTAAAGGAGAACTTTCTTTTCTCATGATTATTTGATAATTATAAACACTTTCCCAGCATGAACCAAAAAGAAGGCCGAATGCCTATGCTTACTGATCTAAGTAGGAACTTGTGAAGCACACTCCAGACTTAGTAATTCAGAAATTTGACGCCAGGTGCATTTAGAAGATACTCGTCCTTTGCTCCAAATTAAGTTTATGCTTTACTTTTAGTCCATCTGAAACTAATTTCTATTTACTTTTCGAAACATATCATAAAAAACTAGTATGTGGCACTAGATGGTTCTCTCCATGACTCGCATGTTCCTTACTTTTATGCTTGGATATAATCTTCTACCTTGCAGATAAATTCCCTCCGAAGTAAAACTACGACACTTACAATTTAGAAATGGACATTAAACAACACACAAATAACAAGTATCCCACAATGAATTGCGATAGTAGTCAAGAGCTCAGTAGTAATGCCATCAGGAATGTCGTCAACATACACACCTGATGACAGGATAGGCGTTTTGATAGCTCCCGACAGTCACCCTTTGCGAGTTCATACAAAGGAAGCTCATCCGGACAACCATCTGGTTTGGTCCACTTAAATTCAGACCTTGTAGATTTCCTTAAATCATCCAAATGCTCTTCATTTCTCACCAAAAAATACAACCCCTTGGGCAATCCGACAACTCTATGAACAAAAAGGGCAGCATGCACTTCACAATCCATGAAAGCGTCCTAAATGGCAATGCTAACTGTTTCCTTTGCTTCTCCACTCCAAAACCCGAAGGCATACAATGCAGCAAAATCTGATAAAAAGTCTCTCTTGCCATTGTGGTAGAACCATCCATATCTACTGCACTCCTCTCTTTCTAACCATTTCCCTCAAACTAAAACCTTTATAAGAACTCTCACTAATGTCTCCACTGCCAGAAAGGAGCAACTATGGATTGATTGAATATGTTTAAAGGATTTTTTGTTGCCTCGGCGGTCCTATAAATAATATCCCAACACACATGCTCTTTACTAAGCAAATTCGGCTTCCCTTTCCACTCCAATGTTGAAAACTGGATATAGCTAAACTCAACCCCTTATAGTCACGCAAAATCACTTCCACTAGGAAAAACCAGAAGCACACAATCAGGATGCTCAAACTCAATCTCAGGCATCTTCCCCTTGACCGGCCTGGACGGGATTTTGAACTCGGGAAAAAACATCAAGTCCCATTAGTTTCTCTATTCATCATATCCCAAACCATCCAAAACCTTAACTTCCCACCCAAGCCGCCGCGGCCATCGAAACGCGGCAATGGCATGCCCGACGTCATGATTACAATATCTAAAGGCCCTCTCACCATACTTCCAAGCTTCCCTCCAGAAAATAGAGGAAAATCCAATAAGAAAAGTTCTTGGGGAAATTTTTGGGAAAAACCCAGATGGAATTTCGGTTCTAATTTCCAAACCATGCTCTTTCGGAGCATAATGAGCGACAAATGAGTGATCAATCAGAGAATCAATTGGTGCAATGATGTAAGCCTCAGTGGGTGAAGATTCCCACTGCTGGGATTAACCCTGAGGGACCAAGTGGAGAAGCCAGTAGTTTTCCAGGCTGATAAGGCTAAAGAATCATAAAAATTGAGAAATAGTGGTTTTGGAAATGGGTTTTGGGGACGGTAAAGAATTGAAAACCGTGTGATACAGAGGAGGAGGAGAGCCGTCCCGGGTGGTAGCGGGAGAATTGGGTGAGGGAGGGTGCAGAAGAGGGAGGAGTGGGAAGATACGTAACGGCGAAAAGGGTTGGGTTGGTTGGCCCAGTCAAGGCCATAAGGCCACGGGCATAGTTGTTGAAGTTGTGTTTTGTTTGGTTATGGTACTCAAGACTTGATCTTTTGTTGCTGTTGTTGTTGGTCTAACGAGTGTTGGTGGGTGGATGGAGAGTGTGATGAAGCTGCCGTGGACATGGTGATTTGAGGATTCTTTGGGATAGTCTTTTGGTGGTGGTGGTGGCGGCGGGAGGAGGAGGAGATGGTGATGGTGGTGGAGGGACAGAGCTAGTCTCTGGTGAAGCAGAGGCATCTCGGCCATCTGCCTCTGTTTTGTTAGGCAGTGGCGTAAAATCGACTAAAAGTGAAAATTCTTGCTGAAAAGCAGGCGCTTCTGGAAGTTGGAATTTGGGAGGTGCGGACAAAGAACGTTTTGGAAGGTTCCAAACCCAAGATCGGGACCGTGTTGGAGGTTGCTGCCCGAAACCTTGGAATGGATTGTGTTATTGTATTGGGCTAATAAGTCCCAAATAAACAGACGAGCTTCTAGACATTTAGCCCAACACTGTAACCGAGATTCATTCATCCTGCCCGATGTTGCTCGGGCTGTTGCATTGATTGGCCTGCTATCTGCGACCCACCTCAATTCATTTAGCCATCAATCGGTACCACGCGCATGACGCATGCATGTTTTTTGTTCAGCTGTTTAGATGTTTAGATTTTTCCGGTAAGGTTTTGAGTCTTTCTTTAGAAGTATTACTATAAAGTTTCTGAATAGAATTTTTTTTTACAAAAAGCCTCTTTTAAATAATGTTATGATACTTTTTTTTTAATCTGATGCACGTGACATAAAAGATGGTTAGAAAGATTAAAAGAGTATTGAAAACTTTTTTTTTTTGATAACAAATTTATTACAATAGATTTTTAGAAATTGTCCAACACAATTTGATTACATCACTGTCTGTCTTAATGATAGATTAAACACACACTATAAATTACATATCTACTATAGTTAAAAAGAGTACGAATTTAACAGATGAATAGATCTAAAGAAGAGTATAGAAAACATATTCATGATGCAAGTTCAAATAATCACGTATCAATGCTCTGTACTTGTGGTATTTATGCATGTCTCTGTGAGTGATGAACATGTTAATTCTTTAAAATAACAAGTTTAGTTATTGTTTGGATTGTTGTTTTCCGTCAAAAAATTACGTCGTTTTTCGTAATCACATTTCTCGATTACCTTTTTTTCTCACATACATCAAATCCCTACAGTAATTTTTTCATGAAAAATCATGAAAAATGCAATCCAAATACAAAAATTTGTCAAACATAATTTTAATAACAAAGATGGCAACGTGTGTGAGATCATATTAGGATATTTCTAATTCGTAACTTATGTTTAATATGCAAGCAAATCAAGTACTATTATATGGAAACTAAGCAATAGTCATAGTTTTATAGGAAGATATTCATTTACGTGTCACAAGTCGTTATGAGATGATGGCTCGCAAAAAATCTCCACGAGTACTGGTGCCCAAATCAATACTGCTACCACTGCGACTGCTGCTACACGTTCCAAATCTGGAACTGTTCGTTTGTCGATTTGCTCACTTTGTGCTGTGCCTCCTGAGAGTGAAGAATGCCTTTTCTTTAATTAATTATAATTATGACAAAATGAATGATCGCTAAGCACTGATTTATCAGCTGAGCTTCCCAGTACGAGTAAGCTCTCATTTTTGCTGCTTCCGACAGGCCACAACACAAGGAAGACCCTCACTCTTTAAAGAAAAAAAGGGAAATCTTTTTTGCACTGGGTTTGGAGTGGCTAAAGTGAAAAAATGGCAGTGCAAGTGGCGTACAAGACTGCAAACACTTTCATACCTCGTACTGTTTACGTGTAAACCGTTCTAATCCGATTCCACAAATCCCCATTCCATTCCATGGAGTATACTTTAAAATATCCAATTCAATATTCACAAAGTTTGGCTCCATTTCCGTAACCCATTCGCTGCGAGTAGCCAAGCAGGCAAGAAAACAGCAGCACTAGTCATCAAAGCACTGGCACCAAAACCCCACCAAAATCCAAACACCTGCATTACTTTTTTCGTCTCTTCCTCTTCTTCTTTCTGTATCAATTCAACTCAAAACTTTGCAACACAAACAACCCTTCAACCATTGAAATTCCCAAGGCTCATCCCTGCAAATCTCTTTCTCTGTGTCTCTTTTTGGGCTGGTAAGTGTTTGTTCTTTCCATCTTCCCCAGTTTCCCGAGTTCTTGACTTTTTTTGTTGCTATGGTTTTTTGGTCCTGTCTTTATTCTTTTGAAAAATCGTGTCTTGATGATGTTTAGAATAGTGAAAGAGAAAAGCTGTTGTTTTCCTTTTTTCAACTTTGCATGGTTGATTGTGAATATTGGTTGCCAAGACGAGAAAATTAAAGAAAGCTACAGAATTACACTCCAGTGCCATTAAAGAACAAAAATATTTTTATTTGGTTGACACTTGCCAGCGGAAAAGATGGACGCAGAGATAAAAGCTAGAGAAATAGTGAATTGGGCACCTCAATATACCTAAAAACGGGATTTTGCCGTTGTATCCAAGGACCCCGAAATTTTTCGTGCAGAAACAGGGGTAAAAGAATGAAATTGTGGGCTCTGATTGTTTGGGCGCAACTTTTGTTTGACGATAGTTAACTGGACGACAATCAAAAGGGAAGGCATTGTTTTGCTTTTTGATTTTAACTGTTTTTATGACTATTTGAAAATTATTGTCCTACTTCCTATTGCTTCTGCTAACCTCTATCTAAGGCACTACTCAAAAACTTTATAGGGATGGAATGGATTACTCAAAAACCTTTTCAAGTTAGCACCCTAAACTACCATTTTTGCACAAGGGTGTGTTGTTGTGTATTTATGCTACACTCATAATCTCTGAATACCTTGTACATGGTGGTGCTAGGGATTGTTTTTGGCACTGTATTCAGTATCTAACAATATGAAGAATCTTGGGAGGATGGGAATTCGTTATTTGCACAAACTAAATGCTGCAAATGTGCCCAAGGACTTGTTAGAGAGGGGGCAGAATCGCGTTATGGAGGCATCTCTTACCTTTATCCGTGAGAGAGCTAAGCTCAAGGTATGATTTGATCTCTGTCAAAATTTTCATCTTCAAGTTTTCCTTTGTTCTATGAGAATAATTTTAAAATTAATGTTAGGGAGAACTTTTACGAGCACTAGGAGGAGCTGTAGCATCAGCATCCCTTCTTGGAGTTCCTCTAGGGCATAACTCTTCATTCCTTCAGGGGCCTGCATTTGCTCCCCCTCGTATAAGAGAGGCTATCTGGTGTGGCAGCACAAACTCCACAACTGAAGAAGGTGAAGCCATTTTTATGCTAGTATTACGTAAACACATATGGATGTTGAGCTCCATGTTGTCCAAAGCAAAATTATCTGTGAAATGATTAGTGTTTGCATTCAGGCAACCATGAATGCCTCCATATAACCGTTGTGCATAAGGCTTTGATTAAGAGGGTTAGAAATGTTTCATTGTGATTAAGAGGATTTTATGTCTTCATTTCGGTCTTGCCACTGGTCTCTTTTTAACCTAGTTTAGTATTTGATAAGGATTTTGACTGTTGATTATGGGTTCCTTGTCTTATTTATGTTTAACCAGTTGCAGAGGAACATCTAATATTCCTTGTTGCACTGACACTAAAAAAAGTCAATATCATTTTCTAGCTGTGCCATCTACTGGATCCCCTTGGCTTCATTTCATAAATAAGGACATCATCATAAGCCTCCATCAATTCCCCACCCAAAGGAGGTGGAAAACAAACCCCTTCCCTTGTGATGCTAGTGGTTTTTATTACTTTCTGTAGGATTTGGTCTCTGTTATTAATAGTTTTTTTGGCTTGTTTGTGGTCCATTATTTTGTTGCTGCCTACTGTTCTATGAGCCTTTGCCAATCTTTACTTCCTT